AAGCTATTGAAATTGTCTTTGTCTGCTATTCATGGCATTCCTAATGAGCCTAATCCATAAGATTTATAAGTATGTTATGTATGTTATCTTCTGAGGAATCGCAYCAGAAACTCGGTGGTGTAATGGTATAACAYGGCGCATATAGACTGGACGGTAGGGGATCGAGTCGTGAGGGAGTCATTTATCAAAGACCTTTTTTCAGTAAATTAATGTTAAACTGATTATTTCTAATAATTTGATTATCATTAGCTAGTAGTAGTTGGAAACAAGGTAGAAGTAACTAGAAATAAGGTAGAAATAACTGGAAATAATGTAGAAGTAACTTGAAAAAGGTAGAAGTAACTGGAAATAAGGTAGAATACAAGGTACGAGTACTTCCTCTGGTTTCAAGTTACTTCACGTGGTACAAATTACAATCAGGGATTGGGTGGATACCTCATGAATAATTAATGAGTATGAGAASCATTCTGAAAATACTCCATATGTCAAAAAAAAAGAATATGAGGTGACATGGTGACTGGTATTAGTGTGAATTAGTGTGGTTCRGTATATCTATTTTTGTTACCAAAAACATTGATGATTTCAGATTTGCAATTGAAAGTTCAATTCACAAAGTGATTTAAAAAAGGACTTTGCTTTCCTTTTCTAGTAAAGTAGCAGTAAAAAGGAAATCACAAACCAATTTACCAGGAGAGTACAAAGTGGAGGAAAAAAAGTAAGTAGGATATAAACTGAGAAGAAATTCTTTTCAATAACTTGGCTAAAATTATATTGGATTATTATATTATTGAATTGTGTGTGTTTTTTGTTATTTGTGGGCCTGTATATCTCATATTTTCCTGACATTATGAATGAAAGGTTAATCYAACTATCAACCTGGTGTATATAATTTATAACCAGACATTAACGTTGTAGCAAATTGAATCATAATGACACACAATGGTAGGTGGAGGAGCATTAGGGTGACATGGTTACAAACGGGCATACATGAAGCTTCATTSCCTTCYRCCCTATTGGGAAAGTATGGTAAAAATAGTCTCCAGTATAGTCCTCATTATGGGAAGAATAAGGTTGTTTATTACATTTGTGTGTTGCTTTCTGAGATTATATCATTTTATACAGRCCTAAGAAATCCTCTTCCAGCTCTTCTGCTGGAACATCAAGCAGTCCACCAACTTCACATTATAAGTAAGTTGTTTTTGAAGAATCCTTCTTA